GGGGGTGGCTACAGGGGTGGCTTCTGTGGCTTTTTAACAGTGATACTTCCTTACTCTGTCCTTCAGTGTTACTCTGACTTTGTTTTTATTGCTGCCCTGTCCTGACTTCTGGTGCAGGGAATCCACCGCGATCTGCTCTGCAAAACCAATGGTGGCATGAAGGACCTAGGCTGAAACTCAGCCTATGTTTCTGGAAATCAGGCTCTCCTTTCATTCCTGTTGGACAAACACCACCATCAATTGCTCTTCACCTTCCACACCCTGCCCTCCCCTCCTCCATCACTTGGCATGATTTGCTTTTCAAGACAAATCCTGCTGCACTGGTAGAAGGCTGTGATGGCTAGGGGAAGTGTTTAGCTCATCTGGACGCACAATAGAGGCACAGAGAAACCAGGCAGGAGGAGTAACTCAATATATGCTCTGCCCCCAGCAGGTCCCGGACCCACCAGAGGAGACCCATCAGCCTATCAAAGGCCTATCTGCACAGACGCAGGAGAACACAGAGGGACAATGGCAGGTGGGAACCCAAGTCACAGGCTCCTGTAATTACAGCAGTGACACCCAGCACCTTCTAGTCAATGGGAGCAGCTCTCCAGGTCATTTAGCAGGCACACGGGGTGGCTGCCATGGGAGTGGGACATGTTATAGAAACACAAAGAGCAGCAGCCTTACCTCTCTCGGGCTGTTGGACCTGGCATGATATATTTTCCCCTGACATCTCATCTGCAGCTGGGAGGTCCAAATAGTGACACTGATACAAGATGTGTCTCTGTTGCACTTGGCTGCTCTGACTTCTGCTGGCCAGCCCATGGAGTGGGGTAGGAACTTTTTGTCCTAGTGAGTCCCATTGGGCCGGTTCATGTGAGATAGGAGCATGAGTGAGTGTGAGAAGGGGAGGGAACGCACCCACGGGAAGGCAGGGTCAAAAGCCCCAAGAGGGAAAAGGTTGCTGCTGGCAGAGGGCTTTAGTTAGTGGTTTGGGAGCAGCTGGAGCAAATGTGCTGAACTAGCCACCAGATCAGCAGTGCTTGGCCTCCACCTATTACAAGCCAAGCTCTAGTGAGGGAAGCCGCAATGCAGACAGTCCTCAGCAATGGGTGCCAGTGGCCCTGGCATGCAGGATGATGGCATCAGGAAAAAAAAACCCCACCTTGTTTTCCCTCTACCTTATTGCTAGTGGTGGTAGAGAGAGACATGTTCCTCTGGCACTGTAACCGTGGGATAGGGGCCGTGAAACACAAACTATAGAATCAGGTTGAGATAATTAGTTTGTAACCAAGGTAATGAAGCTAACTGACCGTGGCAAGATACAATGCTGCAATGTTCCATGTACAGTCCCTACCAAACTGAACAATAGGTTCGGAGATATTAATCTTATGAAGTAAGTTGCTATGGACAGGTGCACCTACAACAAGGATACTGCGCATGCCTGCAAGAAGAGGGTCACTCAGCGGACTTGGGTGCAAGACCACTGACGACCACCGACTCAAATCACTGAGCATGTGTGACAGGGAGGAGAATATGGAAATGGATTCTAAGAAATGATTATCATAGGACTGCCTTTTCTGAGAAAGATGATGAATATGTATGTTTTGATCCTACATAACCTGTGTGTTGGTGATCACCTGGCATGCACGTTGGGTGGAGCTATCCCCCGTGCATCCAGCGCTGCAATAAAGGATGTCTGCCTTTTAACACTACATTGGTGTTACAAGGCTTATTCCTGGATTTCGGTGACAGCACTAGCAGCAGCTGAGTTTCATCCCTGTGCCTGCCTTTTGCCACAGCACAGGAAGGTATGTCCAAATCTGGCTGGTCCCTCAGGCTGGGGCAGGTGAAGCCTTGCAGTTTCTGTAGCTGATGGTTCTGGGCTGCAGCACCAGGTGCCTGAGCTGGGGGCAGCCCCTGTTGCTGAACAGCTGGTTTGGGAGAGGGGCCACTCACACAGCTGGCCTGGGGCTGAGCCTATGATGGGGCACAACTGTCACCAAAGAGCACCATCCAGTACCTCATGGGGTAGTTTTATTTCTCTATAGTTGTTCTCACTGGGTGTGTTGTTCCAGAACAGCACAGGGTGAAAGTTTAACTAAACAACCTCACATGCTAAATTTGGTGCAGCATGATTTACCTTCCAGTCCTGGGAAGCCAGGCTCTCCAGCTACTCCTGCAAGAGACAAGAAGAAAATGCTCGTTGGATGATTCAATGTGAGTGAATTACTGTGGCTGCTCCAGCCCCTCCATATGTCCCAAATGTACAGGAGAGGCTAAGTGCTGCAAAGCCGCTGTGCTCTGCTGAGTGTCCCAGCTGGTGCTGCCACCCTGGCCTGGCTGCTCTTTTGATCGGCAGCATCTCTCAGGAACAGCAGGAAGAGCAGGACACAGGGAAGAGAGAAATGCTGCTCCATCTGCTGGAGTGTGTGGGGGATTCATGACTCCATTTCAGTGACTTTTTCTGGGGGCTTTCTCTGTTCAGTCAGGCACCTGTGAGGTTTTGGGCAACAGCTGCTTTTTCATGGGTTCATCATCTCCTGCTTGGGTTTCAGCTGAAGTCTTGGGTGGTTTTGCCCAGGAAATAGCTACATATTCAGCATGCAAAGGGGCTATTTCTCCAGCTAGTCACTGCACTGGTGCTCAGTTCCTGGGTGCCACCTTGTGCTGGGAACTGGTTTCTTTAGAAGAGACTCTTCCCATGTCTGCAGCACACAGATCTTGCTGAAGACCTTAAGCACAGCCTTGATGGAGTGAAAGCCAGTTTCTCAGCAGACATGTTCCTCTTTTCAGGAGCTCATCCTACTGCAAAGAAACTCCCATTCCCTCCTTGCTTCACTCTGTGTCAGCTGTTTGCTGGTGGTTTGATCCTTCTCATAAAGTGGGCTACAATAGCATCGCATGCGAAGTCCAGGCCTGGAGGCTGCTGGAAGCACTCAGCATTGTGTCTCTGCATCAGGCCTCCCAGCTGAAGCACCCCAGAGAGGGGGATTTGGGCAGGTTTTTTGTGGTGGAGGCAGGTTAGGGTAGGAGTGGGGAATGAGGAGAGGTCTGATTTTATGGACTGATAAAGGTCAGTTGGGAACTTTGAGAAGAGTAGTAGTATCTTCCTCTGTGATGTGGTCCCACTCATGGACACTTTTTCTAGTACTCTCTCCATGCAAGATCTGTACCCCCAAGTCCTGCTTTGCCTGCACTACTTCAGGGCTCATTCTTGGACTATTACCAGCTCTGCCATTCATCTTTAGACCCAGTGTCCCAATGCATGTTCTGAACGTGGGTAGATTTATGGATTAGAGCTGAATATGTTATGCATTACCTTTTGCACCAGGTGGTCCTGCTTTCCCGGGAAGTCCCTGGGCTCCCATTTCTCCTGCAAGGAAAGACTCAGTTTGTATGTGCACATTGCAAATTCACCAGAGGGGAGCTAATACAGAAGCCCAGGCAGCTGGGCCTTGGCTTTCACAGAAACAAGGGAATTGGGTTTTGTTAATTAGATTCAATCTTGCACATATCTTACTTCTTTACTTCTGTTGAAGTTACACTACACTGGTACTGCCAGTGTGTACTAATTTACAGTTCATGTATGAATTTCAGTGAACTTTGTACATCCTGGAGCCAGTCCATGGATTTTGCTGTGGTGGATTTGCTCTCTCTGGTAATGTGATTCACCTCCTCTATGATGAAGGACCCCATCTCCCTTGCTTCCAGTGTAGGGAGTGTCAGTACAGTGCCCAAACTGTTCCCCAGTAGACATGGAGGAGCATTGCAGCCTCCCTCGATGCATCCGGAGTTTTTTTTCACGGCTGGTGTATCTGCTATGG